GTTTTGGCTGTTTCTCCCTGAGAGTCGTGATGTGAGGCCCGCTGTCTCTCCCTGCAGAGAACGTCTCTGTACAGAGAATCCATTGGATCAGAGGACGACTCCCCCTGCTGGCCATCCTGGTTCTCTTCATCTGTGGAGGAAAAATAACAACAAGGTTACATTTCCTGGCATCGACCTCACTGACATGACGGCGACTGAATCACTGAATTCATCTCCCCTTTGCCGCTGTTTTTATATTTTTAATACTCTGATTTTCCCACTTTACTCATTTTACATTTTCTCCACGTTTTCAGACTCCTCCCTCTTTTGCAAACGTCGCTCAATCACAGCTCAGTGTATTTATCTTTAAGACTTCTTAAACCAAACTGGAGATGGATGAAAGCTTTAATTTAACGCCTGTAGATTATTTTTTACCTTTCAATAAAACTCTGAAGTCTCCTCTCATGTTCGGAGTTTGTGGTCCTCGCTTTAAAATAAATTCTGCTGCCAAAATGATTTTCTTAAGCTCAGTAGATATTGAAGTTTTAGTTTCTTAGAATTAACCAGTTCAACCTGCACAGCTTCCCTCTAACTCCTCATCACATGCTCTGGTCGTGTTCCTCATGCCGGTCTGCAGGTTCATCATCATCATCATCATCATCATCATCATCATCAACCTTTATTTAAGTTCTCAGAGAGATCATTGAGGGCGACCCTCATTTGCAATGATGCAGAGAAAACATAAATGATAAACAACGAGAAATGAGATAAAGCTACTACAGAAAATAAAATCAAAAAAAGAGCAATAAGAACAATAAAATAATTTAAAAAGCTTGAAATTACTACAGTGATAAGTCAGTAATTAAAATAAAATGAAACAGTCACAGTCGGGTATCGGGCGGTGTCAGGTCCTGTTGTAAAATGTTCCAGGAGTTTGCAGCACTAACACTAAAAGCAGTTTCCCCCAGGTCAGTCCTGGCATGAGGAACCTGGAGAAGCAGCCTCTCTTTCTCTCGAGCGGGTTCATATCTCTCTTCAGATTCATGAGTACCATACCTCTGTGGTAAAGTGCAGTGAGGAAGCCCAGGCGATCAGTTCCCTGGAAAAGCGCTCGTTCGATCTCCATCTCCCGGCGTGACAGAGGCCGGCTGGAGGCGAAGCGCTGTGGGCGGGACATGAGCTCTGCACGGGCCTCGATCTTGTCTCTGATCACCTGCAGACGCTGCTGCTTCGCACCTGGAGCCGCACACACACCATGGGACTGTGACACAGGAAGGGGGGGGGACAGATGATGTTAATACAGAATAAATAAATCAGTGTTACAGTGACATCATCCTTAATCCTAAAAACATAGTTTAGAAAGTTCGTCATGATTTCCATCACCTCTGTGACCTCTGTGTCTTTTACCTTCTCGGCTCCCTCCGGTGCGTCTCTGCTCTGCCACAGCTGGATCTCGGTGTCGGTCAGTCCAAGCTCCCGGAGGCTGGCCAGCTCCGTCTCCCCGTCCTGCAGGGCCTGAAACTGGGTGAGACTCCTCACACCGGCTGCCTGCTCGCCAAATGGCCGATAGAGCGCCGCCGGGGCGAAGCACTGCTTCTTGGCTACACATCTGCAGGAGAGGACATCATTCAGAATGTGTTAGGAAGGAGATGAGACGACCCTGCTGGTTGCTGGTTTTGCTTTCTGTGTGTCAGTAGGAGTGTCTGGGTCGTCATGGTTGAGAGACAAGAGAAGGAGAGAGAGAGAGAGAGAGAGAGAGAGGAGCTGATCCTCATGTAGCCATGCCTCCTCATTATGTTTGTATTTTATCTAGCTGAACTTTAATGTAAATAAACGTATTCAGTAGCTCCACGTCTTCCTGCCGTCGTTTGTCACTGGCTCTAAGCCAGCCGTGACAGCGTCCTATCACAACCTATCAAAGCCCCTCCCCTACCTGTCTGAGCTCCTGCACCAGCATGCTCCCACCTGCCCCCCCATCCATCCCACAGTGCAGGTCTAACTCCCGGTCCTGGGGGTCATGCAGGACCTTTCTCCATTGCCGCTCCCACCCTCTGGAGCTCATCCCAAAAACCATCTGAGACCCCCCCTCACTCTCCACCTAAAAAGTCGACTTCTTCTGCATCACCTACAACTACTAAGAATCTCTGTCCTCACTCTTTGTCTCTCAGATTATTTATCTTTCTTCAGCGTCTTTGAGTATTCAGAGTCCAGTGTGTATAATGATTATTATTATTGCTGTAGTGAAACTAGCTGCAGACCCTTCCAGAGGTCTCATTATGTTTTGAAGTTTCTTATAACTGATACTGAGTGAGACTTTGACGCCCCTGAGGGTCGGGTATTAACCCTCCTCCAGGCTGCCCGCTCGTCTCAGTGAAGACAACACAACAGAGTCTTTGTTTTTTTTTTATAGCACAGACCGACCTGCTGGAATAAAGCAGCGGCAGACTTTCTCTCCCACTGAGCCGCTCTCAAACACAGAGACAGGCTTCATCAAGGCGGCCATTTTTTTGTCTCCAGTGATGTTCACCACAGTTTGCATTGGAGCAACATTTTGGATCGATACTGTGGAATGGGATCTTAAAAAAACAGACTCACACTCAGAGTCATTGTGATGTGTTTGCAGCCAATTTATTTGATTGTTTTTTTCAATTAAGTGTTCTGTTTTGTTTTAATGAATGCTTTGTGATATTATAAGATTAGTCTTCTTTATGCTTCTTTCATTCAAAATTTGAGATTTTATGTTTGTTTGTTATTCTTAACTTTATTTTTGTTTTGAATGAAATAAAAAAATTGAAATTTCCACGAGATAACACTGAGCGGGAGACTGCATCTGTTAAATTCTTGTTTCAACTAGCTGAGATGATTCCTGCAAGTGTCTGCTATGTGATTTGTGGTTATGGGACATTTTATTTGATTATCCATGAAAACAAAGCCATAATCACACAGTTACTAACCGCTGGATATCCACGTCGGTGTGGAGCTGCTGCAGCAGGAGGCTGTGGAGCTGTCGCTGGCCCTCCGTCTCCTGCTCCTCCAGCAGCGGGCCGTCCTCACAGGACTGCCGGCTCACTCTGAGCAACACAACACAGAGAACATCAGGTCACAAACCCCAGTGGATGTTTGCTTATATAACAGTATGATAATGACACATCCATCTCCATCAACAACAGGATACTTTCAGGTGGTCGTACACAAACATATGAGAGATGTAGACGTTGCTTCATTTCAGTGGGCAGGTGACTGCACAACCTTTGACTGGATATGAGCATACGACGCAGAGAGCTTTTCCATGTGGTATAAAATGTCTTTCTCTCTCAGCATGTGCACATTTGACCTGTTTGATGCAGTCACATGAAGTTCGTGCCACATATCAGATATCCTCAGATTGACTGGCATCAATTTAGTGAGGGGGGAACAAAAGTACTTTTGGATGTTTCTTAGATTTAGGAGAAACATGTTACAAACAGCTATGAATAAATGTCAACCAAGCGGCAAACTCCGATGTTTAAAAGTGAAGCCAATGCGGATGTGTAACATCCTGCAGTTCCTGGAGTGTCCACTAGAGGCTGGCTGCAGAAGCACAGGAAGTCACATACACACCCATTCTAAAAAGCCTGTTTTTACAGCAGAGATTAATTTGTTTGCCTGTTTCAAAAAGTGAAATATATCTGGTTAGCTCATGTCTGGATCAGCTCGTTAGGTTGACTGAAAGTTAGACTGAGACAGGGGACGCCATCGATGGGACTCCAGCGCCCCCTGCAGGGACAGACGGGGGACGCCATCGATGGGACTCCAGCGCCCCCTGCAGGGACAGACAGGGGACGCCATCGATGGGACTCCAGCGCCCCCTGCAGGGACAGACGGGGGACGCCATCGATGGGACTCCAGCGCCCCCTGCAGGGACAGACGGGGGACGCCATCGATGGGACTCCAGCGCCCCCTGCAGGGACAGACGGGGGACGCCATCGATGGGACTCCAGCGCCCCCTGCAGGGACAGACGTCAACACGTAGGCCTACTCTTCAATAATAGTTTGTTTACTGCATTTTATACCTTTATCACAAAGTTGAACACTTGTCAACTTTTGTTTCTCATATTAGAAAAATAGAAAAAGAGTCCAAAGAAGAAGTTATGAGTCAAAAGTTGATTTCCTATTTTAAACTAAATATAAACTCTTTACATGTTTATAACTTTCTGACTGAATATATATCACAGACAATATTGAATCTATTCCAGGCTGAAAGACATTTTAAATGTTGAGTTGTTCTGAGCTGTCAGGCTGCTGTTTGTTTGTTTGTTTGTTTGTTTGTTTGTTTGTTTAGCTGTTGAGTTTTGTTTCAATTATTCGTTATTTTCTTCAATGAAACACAGAAAGAAAGCTGTCAGAGCTCAAACAGACATCCTATGTTGAGTCATGAAGGAGAACTGGTTGATTATAAAGTCCAATTTTAACGTATTTTAGTATAAAATAGTTAATAACAACATACAGCTGTAGCAGAGGTGCTAACGCTAGCTTCTCCATGACGACAGCACAGCCAGAAGAACAGCGCGAACTAAAAACGATTTAAACTCTTATTTTCTTTTAACAGTTACGTAAAAGTCTTTCATAGTGCACAGACATTGGCTGAAAATGCAATAATTCGTATAAAATTACTGACACTGATAACTCAAAGTTGTGTTTTTTTACCTTCGCATGTTTCCGCCTCGTGCTTCCTGTTCCGCTCAGTGTGGAATCATGGGAAATGTAGTAGAATCCATACATGAACAAAATGATCTATACTCGAGATGATTCATGGTTACAGAGAAAATATTTCGGGGATAATAATGCAACAGCTTCTCTTTTGTTCATACAAATATAACAATGTGTATTTTATTAAGTGCAGAATCATAAAACTGTAAATAAAAAATCCTGTAGGCCTATGTTCACCAGATTCTATTGATTGTAGGCAATTTTTTTGCTGAATGTTGCTCTTCTATAATGCAAACCAGACCTGACAATCTGAATGCATTTTTTGCTTTTGTGATGCATCTGAAGTAAAAGGAAAGAAGGCACATAATGTAGTCCATTAAGCCACACCCATCTTCATTAGAGAAGGTGTGGTAATAACCCCATGTCTGTCATCAGACCTGTCTGCCTTTTATTCATCCATGAACGATGTTTTATCAAACGTCATGCTGCAAAGCCTTACTGAATATATACTGTAAACCGCTCCCACCCTCCCCACCCAGATAGAGTGTCCTCAATTAGCCTGCTGGCTGACGTCAGTAAGGTGACATGGGTGCTTCTCTTCACCATCGCTGCTGCAGCTCCGCAATAATAGATGGGAGGGGGGGGGGCTTAGGCTACATAGATGGGAGCCGAGCTGTGCTGGTTGCATGCAATTAAAAAGTTGCCATGAATTAGAGCGCGGTTGTGCAGCAGCTCCCCTCTTCTCCTCCTCCTGCCTGCAGCCGGTGTCAGGTCGCCGGCAGCTCGGCTCCTCTGCAGGGCTGCGCAGCTCCTGACTGACAGAGAGATGAGGGGTGGGGACGCAGGGTGGGGTCACAAGCAGGGAGAGGCGGAGGAGGAAAAGGCAGAGAGAGAGAGCCCAGCCCTTGAATGCACGGCAACAACACGCCGTCAGAGAGAGGGAGAGACTCAGAGAGACTGGCCGTCTTTTGGGGGGAGCAAAGGGAACCTTCGACGCTGCGGATATGAACTGAAAAGACACACTGGAAGAGGAAGGGATCGTGTACCTATATCCCCAAATTTTACTGTAAAGGTGGAAAACTAGCCCCCCCCTAAACCCTCCTCTCTCCCCTAACAGTTCTTATTCAGATAGAGCTACACCCAAAGCCCCGAACCGACCCCCTACTGCTCCTGCTGCTCCACCCCTCCGCCGCTGCACCCGCTCCGGCAACCGAGATGCACACGGAGACCCGTAACAAGAAAGTAAGTGCACCTTATTGACTTTGCCCAGGTCAATGGAAAAAAGAAGCATCTGTGTGTGTGGATGATCTGCCTGTACACAAGCAGAGCTGACACTGTCATGCGCCAAATGTGACTGTCAGCGCGCATACATGTCCACAACAGCCAATTGCAATAGTATCCTTGCAGGCAGGCAGTTTATTTTGCAATTACTGGAGGACTTTTGTAACAACGACCTTATTGCATCGCAAGAACATCACGCTGGAGGCACTGACATTTCCATGTGTCATACAGAAACCTCTCTGTCTCTCCTCTTATCTCTTGCTTTCTCTCTCTGTGCGAGGTTAGCTCAGGTCCAATTTGAAATGCTCTGTGATCTCTGAGAGGCAGGAAGGAAACGGAAGGCAGAAACTGCAGCTTGTAGGACACCATCTTAGCTTTTAAAGGGCCAGCAGCCTCTCCTGAAACACAAACACACAGCACAGCCCTGGGAAGCAGCCAGGTGCACTTGCCTCTAGTTACACCCCTGCGCAGGCGCTGCTGAAGGCTTGTGCCTTTAAGTGAGTCTTGCCTCATCAGAGTGTGTTTATGTGTCAGATTGGCTGGACAGGTTTTCTAAAAAAGTAAATGAAATCTGGCAGTGTGAGCAGACTGGTATGAAACATAGATGCTGAAAGAATGCGACTGTCTCTCTGCAGCTCCAGATCTGTTTGTTCGATGTTTTGCATGTGGATGGAGATGAGTTTCAGTTTGGGAAACAACAGCCAGGTTCCTCAGAAAAGAGGTGAGCTTTGACCTGCATAGCTGAGGAGAGATTATTGATGTTAGTTACATTCAGTGATGAGCTGCACATGAGGCAGCGCTTTACTCTCACATTTGACGTCTGTTGTTGTATTCTATTTAATTTTTGTTCCTGAATATTTATCAAGCGCTGGCATTGATGACATCACATCTCTGGTGCCTTCATTCATGTATTTCATATGACAGGTGAATAGGAGATCAATGAGTCCTTTGCAGGTAAACTCCAGCACGCCATCTTTAACTTTCAACAAACATTTATTGGAAACATTTTGCAGCTTAAACCTTTTATCAGACTTCCAGTTTGTCAAATAGGAAGTGGCTTCAACCCTGCAACCAATCATCATCATGACGTCAACTCTGATTCAACAAATTAACAAACACATAAACATCAGCTTCCTGATTGAGAGCACACGCCCAAAAACAACTAAACCGAAACTCAAAGAGGCGATTCTGAGTAAACATGTCAGTTCATTATTCTGAGTGTCTGTTTTCACTTCAATGTTTTTCATTTTGGCCTCAGAAATCTGTGAACGTCTCAAAGACATCCAGTATCGTTGTGACTGTGAATTTAAAAACAGGAAGAAAGTAAATGACTGTGATTAGTCAATTACAAGTTAGCCACGCCCTAAACCAAACGCCTTCCTATGGTGCAAAAACGTTATCATGCTGTACTGTAGGAGACTGAAACTGGCAACACAGGAAATTTTACTGAGGCAATATTTAAAGTGAAAGGGTGGCTCGTTGTCTCATAGACATCTAAACAGATGGTGAATGCTCCCCCTGCTGGTCATTAAAAAAGCCTGCAGGTTTAAGGCTCGTCTGAACCCAATACGCTACAATTAGCAACTGAAGACTTTTTTTTCAAGGTTCATTTTAGAGCTAAGTCAGTGGATAGAGTCATAACCCGGGGAGAGAGGGAGCCGGTAATGACATGCATGGAAGGAGCCACAGGTCAGATTTGAACCTGGGCCGCCCCCTTAGAGGACTTAACCTTTGTACATGCACTTACCACTGGGCTACCGGCGCCACGAGAGCTTTCTAACTGAAGTGTAAATGTCAAAGATCTCCAGCACATAGCCTGGCCCTTTTTTAAAAGCAGTAACCACAGTCAGCTTCTTTCAGCCTGTAACAGATTCAGGTGCTGTCATCACTCCCCAGTTTAATTCTAATGAGCCTACATGAATCTATTCTATTCAACAGGGTCATTCAAGTCTTACGCAGCACGTCAGCAACAATGCACATGAACGTCAGCAGTCACAAGAGCTTCATTAGCAAATACAGTAAATCTGCAGAGATTTGCACTAAATCTGCAGAAAACTTCACGGTGCAGAGAGAGCACTACAACAGTTTACTTGTTAGAATTTTATGATTTTATTTCTCGTGTGTATCCGTTCTTCAAGCTCCCTGCAGACATGTTGGCGGCTTTAAAAACCAAAAGTAAAAGCAATGTGATCATGGTGAAAACGTTGCTTCAGTCTAAAAAAAACAAAACATTTTGAGATCGCCCCTTCAACTTAAAACAACCTTGTGCTTGAAAGTTAAACATTCAGCGTGCTAAATCTAATTAAGAATAAGTTAAATGGCTGCTTTTGTTAACAGATCGCTTTATCTCCACATGCTGGATTCATGCTAGGGGTCATGGCGCTTGAGAACGTGATGTCATCGTAGTTCAGAGGTCAAAGACAAAAGCCAAGTTGAACTTTGAACAAGTCATTTTTTTCTGACTGATCAGGTTGATGTGTCCAACTCTGTTTCTCAAAAAATAGAAGTACAGGGGTTGTGATTTGCAGCGTCTGAAGAGTTCTGGTTTCTGTTTGCGGTACGTTTGTAGTCCGAGCTGTATCAGCCGGTCTCGGTGTGTACCGGTAACAAACGGTCCGTGTGGACAACAATACACAGGCGAGATGACGAGGTGCTACTCCGGGATGTCATGGACCGAGAAATGACCACGTTTCAGTTGCAGATGTAAACGTCAAACAGAAAACAGGAAGTCTTCCCAGGATGTAATTTAACTCTAACCTCATGGCTTTAGAATAATAATAATAATAATAATAATAATAATAATAAACTTTATTTATAAGCGCCTTTCTTAAAGATAAAGATAAACTTTCTTGATCCCCATGGGGGACATTTTTGTCACAACAGCTCAAGAAACAGGAATATAATTATCAAAAATAACAAGAAGTTAAAAATCAAACATCAGTACATCAGTTAAAACTTGACATACAAGGACACTGTACAAAAATCAACATTTAAAAACAACGATGGATAAAATCAGCATACAATAAAATAAATGAAATGTAGGACAGTGTAATTACAGTTCGAGTGAGGAGGAGTCTTTTTGAGTCTGGATTTGAAGATGGGGAGAGAGAGTCATCTTAGTGTTAGCTAATGTGAGCTAGCTACTCACGAGGCTCGTGTTCGCTGACGCCTTTGAATGCGTCATTTGGAAAACACTGATGAGAATGAAAATCTGACATTTTGGTGTTGGATCCGTTGATTTGTAGTGTTGCAGGAACGCATCATAACACCACTCTGGGACAGAACATTTACAGTTTGCATCATGAACATGAACTATGGAGCGTAACGACTCTGAGCGTGACGTCACAGCAACGCGGCCTCTGAGGGAATACGGCGGTTTAATGGAAGAGATGACAGGAAGAACATGTTGTTCTTTTCCAACGCTTGCTGCTTCCTGGTTTTCTTTTAAGTCTTACAATCGTGTGGTCTGACGTCACACGTCCACCGCGGCGGCGTCTTTCAGAGATCGTTCAAAATATCCTCCAGTTTATTCCAAACGAAACAGGAAACTCAACTCATGACTTCCTGTGTGATGGAGGTTGTTTTCTCCATGAAGGTGCTGCACAGCTGTTGACTGCAGTCCCTCTGAAAGCTTCTTTAATGTGACATCAGTCCTCTGTGTTTGAACCCTCTCAGCGCTGTGGGTTATTACTTTAAACATAATGAATCAGAATAACACTACAGTGGAGAGGATGAATGTTCTGGACCACACAGTGTGAAGAGAGACTCCCTAAAAACAAGTCTTATCACCCAGGAGCCT